CAGAGATTGAGTGAGCGTATGGTATCGCAGGACTACTTGGATCGATGGCAGAGCATCATTCGAGACACCAGCATGATGCGCCTGTTTGGACATAAAAGAAAGGATCAGAGGACAAGCTTCAAAATCAAATAGTGTTCACGTACTAAAAGTGAAGCTGCGAGCACTCGCATACCCTCATCCTCAATGTCAACTTTGCATGCGCCATAGTCCAGTTCTAACAGAGTCGAAAATAGTCTCTCGATCCAAATGAACATTTCTCTCTCTGATTCAGCGGCCTTGTTTGACGCCGAGGATTCTGTGGCCGACTTGCTGGACCTATCTGTAGCCTTGGTTGTTCCGCTGAGAAGTACTCGGAATCCAGTGGTAGACAGCCATTCTGAAGCAACGCCTACTGCTTCGGTCACCAACTGGCGCCATGCCTCGTCGCCTTCGAAATACCCTCCCCACTGTTTCACCTCGGTCCATAACGCACATCGTGTTTTCCAGACCTCGAGTGTGATATCTGCTTGAGAGACTGTTGAGGCAGCCTCGCCGGCTTTTCCTGCATCGCCGGATGATTGCAGTTCCGTCCATATCTCTTCGAGGCATTGTGAGATAATCTTCACATATCCGCGAACAGCTTCTCGAACCTTGTCACCTACATACACATCCGGTGGGATCTTGCTCCCAATCTTGGATTTGCTCGATCCAGATGTCGAAGGAGGTGGAAAGATGGAATATCGATTGGCTTGAATAGCGGTAACGTATTCGTGCGAGAGCGCAGGAACAAACGATAGTGTTGCGAGCAGGGCTTGGAAGTTGAGGCTCCTCACTGCCTCGGCAGGAAAGACTAGCTCTCGGATGATGGTTTCGGAGGGTTCTTGCATGCTTTCAGTCGAGGACGCCTGGCTGCTTTGAGTCTGTGGCTGGAGGATGGCGAGTGGCCAGAAGAGCGGACCTACGAGCGACTGCAGCGACGCCTGTATCAACGGCAGAGAATGAAGGACCTTGAGGAAAGTCGGCACGAGTGGCTTGATCAGGTTGAGCGTAATCTGTGGGTTTCACTGTCAGCATGAGCGACAATAACGGGAGTCAAAAAGACTAGCCACCTTTCGACGAGTCTGACTGATTCCTAAACTAGCGTTTGTCTCCAGCACGATCAATCGCGTAAGGCCCAAAAGGCCTTGTGAGCGCTCCGAATTGAGATTCGATGTCATCGTTGTCGACTCTGACCCTCTTGCCCTGCTTTGTGCATCGACGATGTACGAACAGAGAGCTAGCAAACCGCCGAGCGTCTCCAGCCAGCTTTCTGCTCTGACCAACACACTGCTCAGCGTTTCGTCAACCGGTTTTGACACCCCACCTCCACTTGAGGATACCGAATCGTAGCCGAAAAGTACGTTGAATGTCTGAGCAGCAGAAGACAGCAGGTCTTCCGTTGTGTACTCTGGTGATAAGCGTAAAGAGAGTAAGAACGCTGTCAGAAATTGGTGAGACTGTGTTGTTGAGATGATGACACTGCTAGAAGAAGGTGTTTCCTGGATTATCGTCCGCAGTAGATCATGATACGACGAGTTGAGCAGAGAGTTCTTCGCTCTGTTATAGTAAAGAGTTCAATCGATCATGTCTGCAATGTCAGTGCGCCGCAAGCTTACCCTTTCGTGCCCTTGGTTCTGATCCAGCTCTCCAACAGCCATTCTCTAACAATGTCACCCACTCTTCCACCAATTCCATGACCGATTTCCTCCTTCTGTGCCCATGCTCGACTGGCGATTTCAATTTTATGCGGCCAGTCCGGTTGAGGGGGGTCGTGAGGAGACTTCAAAGCCTTAATGAGGGTTGTCGCTGAAGCCAAATACGGCGATTGCACAGCACTGACGGATACCATCTTCAGCGGATTTCCGTATGAAATCTTGCGTCTACGGGTGTCGCTGTTGAAAGAGCAGCTTGTAAGGCTTCACAAATATCAGAACAAGAGGACTGCTCCTAGTCGTCGATCACACTCATAATTTTGGTGAACTCGCTGCGGAATCAAACTTCGAAACACGTCTCCTCGGTCGCCAACAATAATACAATGGGTGTCTGGTAGCAGCATCTCTGAACAGCTCGGTGGACCGGTCAGGTGGAAATCACACTCAGGCCGATATAGAAGGACCCCTCACTCCTTCTGAGAGAGGGGGGTCGTTGCCCTTAATGCGTCGTGGCAGGAGTCTTCGCTCTATCAATCAGTCCTCCTGCAATACTCCGCGTCTCCGCAATCACACCCGATATGTGGAATGGAAGGCTCTGAACTTGAGATAGCAGCTTGTTCTCTATATAAGCAGTTGAGCTAGGCCGTCGCTGTTAGGTCCCACTCCAAATAGATGTGGAATATGGTATCATCAGTGATCTTATATGAATGATATTACAGTACACGCGAATTGTAAAATCAGAGGGGGCGCCGGGAGCCTTTTCATCGGAAAGGTTTGACCATCTCACTCTTCTTACCACACTGCACCAGCGTTGCGTCGGTTGTGAACATGCCTTTTGATAAACCTTTTGGCTGATCGGTGATTCGCCCGGTTACATTCATTAAACTGTTGAACGAGGTTTGCAATGGAATTCAGCAACCTAAACCAGGGAGAGCGCAAAGCATCGCGGCAGCTTCGAAAAGAGCACTCACGTCCGTGTCGCACTTTCCGTGGGCAGTCATAGACGCAGCATAGTCTTTTAAGGAAGCGGAGGCGGCGTTACAGGTGACCTGAAGGCGCTTGCCATGGTCAGACTCGGTACCTTTGAACCGGACTGTATCAAAACTCACCCAAATGCCTTGGCAATCCTTCGTGCCCGACGTTCCGCTTGTGTCTGGAGCTCCGCCTGTCTGTGGACTGGAGGGGTTCGTAATAGGAGGTGCTTGCGATGAAGGTGTTGCAGCAGGCGGTGCCTTCGGAGGTTGTGATGCAGGGGTGACCGGCTTGCCACCAGGCGCATTCGATGCCGCGGGGCTGGATGGTTTTCCAGAGCCTGCTGCTGGAGCTCCTAAAATGGAGCCGACTACTGTTGGGGGTGGAACTTGGTCTGGACAAGTCGCTGGAACTGTCAGTGGTTGATCATCGAACTCTTCTGCTCCGTTGCCGTTACTATCACCGGCGATGGAATCCGACCCATCGTAAACGGGAACACCAGGGACTCTGAATAGACCGAAGTCGTAGCAGTCGGGTCGGTCAACCATGAAACGAAACTGGGTAACGTCGTTACGGTGCTCGGTATACATCGCCGGGATTTTCCTATATTTCATAGATTATTAGCTTTTTGCGAAGACATCCATGCCGCAGACGTACATGGTGAGATCGGGAAGTGATGCACCATCGCTCTGGAGATCGATTTCGAATGCGCTGACGTAGTATTGAGCTCCATCATGCGAGTGCATTGCGATCAAAGTTTGACTCAGCAGGTATTGTCCACCAGGAAGATTGGTGGGTAAAGTAAATTTGGTGTCGATGCCCTTAGTCCCAGTAGGAATTGCAAGGGGCCATGTCTTGGTTTGAGGATCATAATTTTCTTGAGAAATCTTGAACCATTCTAGGTCCGCGCCTAGCTTTCCGGTGCAGCTTTCACCGCAACTTGCCATCATGTTGAAAATTGGGCCAATGTGGCCCTCCTGATTAGTAGGAATAAGAGAATGCAATTCTGTTCACGACATAGCTAAAGACGTACCGGCCAGTTGAGCCAGTGAATCTACGAATGTGTGTTGTGAGTGAGCTGGGTGTCCTGCATTTTGATGCCTGACGCCGAAGTCTCACCTTCACCAAATCTCCCGCCTTGGCTGATACGGCCTCGACGACCACATATGGGACAGGATAACCTTCATCAAGTCCCCCCGTCGCCAGTTTTTCATCGAGGTCCGTGTACTCTGGAAAATTTACCCATTCTGCCAACGAGAGGTTACTCTTACAGCTCAACATGTTAGTTTACGCGAAACTCACTTTCTTCCTCCTGGGCACTTTTATCTTCGCGGACATTGCTTCTAAGAGGTGTCTCGCAATGCTTTTCTTTAAGAGCTGTGTAATGGGGCCCATAACAAGTATCATGGTCCACCTGAAGCAGCGATTGGGAAGAGTGCGTTAATTCGCACGCCCCAGATACTCTGCACAAGGGAATGTCTACGCACGCCAGCAATATTGATATTCGATACATAACCATGCCCTTCAACAAGAAGAGCTCCGCAGAGAGCGACGATAGCAGCCAAGCTGAAACCAGCGTAAGACAGCATGCTTCCAGACCCGAGTAGTCGTTGAGGCGAAATCAGTCAGTAGTCCAGGTCTTCTCAGAAGTCTGATGCGCCTGAATGAAGTCGTGTTTGACCTTTTATCCTAGCCTGTAGGATGTACGCGCGAACGAGCGAAGAGTGACACAGTACGATGACCTGAGGCCCTTCGAATCACAGCAAGCATTAGCAACGCTTTGCGCTTTATAGCTGAAATGATGGCATGGCAGAGGAATGATTCTCACCAGGAATGATAGGAACATCCTGGGCTTCAAAGGGGGTTTCACCTCCGTTCGCTCTTATTCCTGCAAGGGGGACGACGAAAGAGTCGCCAAGTTTGACCCCTGAGGGATAGACCCGCTGAAAGGTAGACGCACCACAACCGTTTGAGCGTGTAGGACAGCCGTGACATCCAATCTTCAAGATTCGCGGTGATCTTGCTCGGCAGTCGGCGCTGGACAGGTAACACAGGGAGGCGGTATTTCAGTAGCGGATTCCTCGTAGCCCAGCCTCGATTCAACGTTTCCGATGACATCGCATCTGGTGCTTCCTTTCGTCCACCGGCGCCCCCGATAGAGGCTGAAACAAACTTACCATTTCGCAGCTCATGCCGCCTACATCCTGTTCGTGCTTCCCCCCACCTATCACTGGCTTCTGCCGGAAAAACCGTCTTGCTGCTCATGCGCATGCGAAATCGACTTTGGAGACGAAATGCCAAAAGGGTGAAAGAAACCATCATCGTCCAAAGGCTGTCCAAAGATGCCAAAAAAGTGGTTGGAGAAACGGGGGATTGAACCCCGGTCCTTCGAGATATTTACAATGGCTAAAGCAGACTGCAAACTCGACGCGCTACCACTGCGCCATTTCCCCGGTTGATGTTGGTGTTTTTTCTTTTAATATAATACTATATACCTTATTGCGGTAGGAGCGAGCGTATAATGTTTGACGCTTTCTTCCTGTCTTGTTTGACATTACTATATGGACTGACCTTGTCAAGGCAACTCCTAAAGCTTCTTCCCGCGTCAAGCAACTACCACATCGCACTTCCCTTTGTCTATCTGAGCAATCATACTGAGGAGTCGTCTTTGGGCCACGGGTTCGCCGCTCGAAGCAAGGTGTGAGCTGTGACGCTTCTCAGCCGTCCTGGCCCATTCATATCGGCTCTTTGACCGATGCGACGCCTGATTATCGCTTGTGTCTTTCTCTGCACGGCTCAAACCATGATGAATGCAGATGCCAACCATTATGCGGCTTTAGCACCTGCTGCTTATTTGTGTAATTGTAAAGCGTGTTCATTCCTGATAAGTCATGACCTATGCGTTATCAAGGCGGAGTCATCCCGTCGCAACTGGATTGACTGACATTGTTCACTGTGGTAACGCCATCATGTCGCATACGAAAATACTACACAATTGGTACAAAGGGGTTTCTGTTTTGAAATTTTCATTCTTGTTTTCGCTCTATGAAATGCATCCGACAACCGGTGCGAAGGGAAGGGTGCTGATGGAAAGGAAAAAGTTGGCAAAGCCCAACGATTTAAAGGGCACCGTCGACCTTGGCCATGTGGGCGATAAGGTCACAAACTCGTCGAGAGTAACCGTATTCGTTGTCGTACCACGAGATGAGCTTGACGAAGTTCTGGTTGAGCGAGATACCGGCCTTGGCGTCGAAGATGGAGGATTCGGTGGATCCGACAAAGTCGGTGGAGACGAGCTCGTCTTCGGTGTAACCCAAGATACCCTTGAGCTCACCCTCGGAAGCGGCCTTCATGGTAGCCTTGATGTCATCGTAAGAAGCGGGCTTCTCGATTCGGGCGACCAAGTCGACAACGGAGACATCCGAAGTGGGGACTCGGAAAGCCATACCGGTCAACTTGCCGTTCAATTCAGGGATGACCTTACCGACAGCCTTGGCGGCACCGGTGGAGGAAGGAATGATGTTGGCGGCGGCGCCTCGACCTCCTCGCCAATCCTTGTGGGAAGGACCGTCAACGGTCTTCTGGGTAGCGGTGGTGGCGTGGACGGTGGTCATCAAACCTTCAATGATGGTGTACTTGTCGTGCAAGACCTTGACCAAGGGGGCCAAACAGTTGGTGGTGCATGAAGCGTTGGAGACAATGTTCATGTCCGACTTGTAGACGTCCAAGTTGACACCACAGACGAACATGGGTGCGTCAGCGGAAGGAGCAGAGATGATGACCTTCTTGGCACCACCCTTCAAGTGAGCGGAAGCCTTGTCGGTGGTGGTGAAGACACCGGTGGATTCGACAACGTAGTCGGCACCAGCCTCTCCCCACTTGATGGCAGCGGGGTCTCGTTCACCGAAAACGTGGACGGGCTTGCCGTTGATGACAAGCTTGCCGTTCTCAGCGGTGACAGTACCCTTAAATCGACCGTGGGTAGAGTCGTACTTGAACATGTAGACCATGTAGTCGAGGTCGATAAAGGGGCTGTCGTAACGGAAGACAGTGATCAGCGCTGATTCCAACCTGACAAGCAGGATAACCACTTACTCGTTGATGGCGACGACTTCAATGTCTCCGTGCTCTACAGCATTTCGGAAGACAATTCGACCGATTCGACCGAAACTGCAGACAAAAGGCGTCAGGGACAAGCTCAGACGTGCAGAGAGAGCAACCTTTACGTACCCGTTGATACCGACTTTGACAGACATTATGTAATGTTTTGTGGGTTTGTTTTAGGATGCTGAAAAAGGAAATATGACAGTTAGCAAACAATCATTCTTCTAGTTTGCTCTTATTATAAACAGCAGCATTCATGTCTTGCATCTGACGTGGATGGGATCCACCAAGCGTGCAGAACAGACATCCCGACATTCGGATCCTAAAGACGTCCTATACCAACCGGCAATATCCAGCCGTTACCCCATTGTCAACTTGAACTAGGTACTACGCCTGCCTCGAGTATCCTGGAATTGTTCGGTGCTAAGGCACAACAAGGAGTCTACGCTCGTCCGAGGTTCCCGAACAAAGCGGACCTCCGAGTTGCGCCTGTTAAGCCCGAAAGGCGAATTCGTTTAAATAATCAAGCCAGCATGTCGCCAATGGCCGCTGAGGTTTCGGTTCTACTATCGATCGTCACTCGTCCAAACTACTTATCCTTTCATCATAAATCCTTGATCCTTCTTGATCTCATAGCCACCAACCATGTCCGTCCCGTTTTGGGTCGTCGCCGTCACCCACTGCCACGACTAGCTTCGCAGGCCTGTCGAGCGGATTCTTGCTATCCGACTTGGATCCAACGACGTCTTTCGCTCGCTATCGCCAGCTGTTGAAACTCTTCGCTCGACTTCTCATCGACTACACCTCAAATCTCGACTAAGAGCCTTATCCAAATGTCGTCCACGCCACAGACACAAGCAGGAAAGAGCTTGAACCAACTAAAGAAAAATGGACTCACCAAAAGCGACGGAAATGTGCGTTTGTATTCGGAAAGAGGCGTTGACGGCGACGGAACGGAAGGAGGGTATGGTTTGTATCGGTTTTGTAGTGTCGGACGGTGAAAGGGGACGGGTTGGTGGGTTGGGGAGGGAAATGGTTGTTGCTTACCCAGCCAAGGCGGGCGCCGTGCTGACCAGCCTTGACTCACTAGGACACGTAATCTAAAAGTGACTTTCATTGGACCACGCTTGCATCCGCTTCAGCCCCAAGCGCTTTTTCATCCGTCACCAGTCACAGACTCTCAAGCGCAGAATCTTCTCGCCACACATCCACCGATACCGTTATCGCCTACCGTCCAAGCGAATCAGCTGCTCTCTTCGTTTAGGCAAGTACCGCCGGGCACACGGAGGAAGAACGTGAGCGGACGAAGCGGGAGCTGTACTGCAGTTCCCGAAGCCTGTACTGGAACAACAGCAGCTCAGTTCAACAAGTGTTTAACAACTGTTTAACAGCTTTAAACGACGTTATCGGAGAGTCACGTGAGATAGTGGATTGTGCAGAGGCCTCTTGACCTTCGGAGAGCTCTGCAGAGGAAGTCTTGGCGTCCGGAGGCATGCTTGAGGCAGTTCAACATGAAAAAATACCCCGGAGGACACGTCAAGGACTTGGCGAAGGTTCTGGCATCATCAAGGATCCCCGAGTGGTCCTCGATTCGCCGCCGACGGCGTTAGTGATGCAAGTTTTGACTGCAATGCCAGCGGTGACGTGCGAGAGTTTACTCTTCAAGGCCGTCGACTGCGCTGTGGTCGACTAGACTCGGGCATGCAAGTTGTCGTTTACTCCAACAGAAGTCTTCCCAGCCATTCATGGAGGAAAGAGAGAAGGGAAGGCGAAGAGATGCTGCGTTAAGGCAAGTCGGTCGCCCTGTGAAATCTCATATATCAGCGTAAACCTTCCTCCCAAGCCGGCCCTTCTTGTAAATCATGCCCTATAGAATCTGCTCCCAAATGATGCATAATTGATGAGGTACAACGCTCGATTGTCGAATAGTGATACAAGACCGTCTTGCCGATCTGTCTGGTTGTTGATGTTGTTTTCGTGGTTTAGTGAATTCGTGCATTCCGCAAACATGACCGGGTTGTTGACCATAGTCTGCCGACCAGCTGTCTATTCTCCTTGCCTCCACAAGGCTTGTGCCGACCACTGTCTCTTCTTGAATGCCGCTACTTCTTCCCCTTCTTCTTCTTCTTGGACGCACTCTTCCCCGTCGCTCCGCCCGTCGTAGCAGCGGCTCCCACCGTCGTCTCCGGAACGCTACTGCCCTCCAGCTTGCCCTCTATCGGCACTGCCACTGCTGACGGTACTATCGTCGGTACCGCTCGCGCTCGAGGAGAAGCCATCGACGTAAGGAGCCGGAGGTTGAGGGATTCGAAACGGTTGAGGATGATGGAAGAGTAGGTCTTGTATTTCAGACACTGTCGAGATCCAGCCAAGCAAGATGTTAGGTACGCGTGTTGCCCCAGACAGGTGTGAAGTCGGTAGAGAGAGATGCGTACCTTGATGTCGTCTGTCACTTTCAGCACCAGATGTCCTTCCTTTGGCCTGAACTTTACACAATACCGGACCTGTCCATCACAAGCTCCCGTTCAGCTGATTTGCTCCACAAGTCCAAGTCATATCATTGTAATCCTCGCATACCTTTTGTGGTGCATGGTTGTACAGCTCCGTTGTTGCCTATTCATTGCAGATACACGGAACATCAGTAAGGGTTGCGATTCGAAGCTGCATCTTCACGTTCACTCGCTAAAACCGAAACTCACGGTCTCAAAGTCTGACCAATTCTTGATGTATACCATGTCTATTCGCTTAGCCGGATAGCTGCCTTGTAACGTGTAATAGACAGTTCATGGACACTTTCCATATCGAGAATCGAGAGAGAGTCACAAGACCAACAAGCTGCTTCTACCATAGTCCATGCGGGTCACCGATTGCTCCGACCGTAGGAATGGCGTGTAAAAACGATTTGAGCGTAAATATTGCTGTCTCAGTTACGAGTCGTGGGCCAAATGAATTCAGAGTTCAGAGGCTATTCAGAGTGCCCCTAAACCCTAGAGGTGTATGGTTGATTTTCACATGTTCTAAGAGTTTATTCTCGAGCTCGTCTGCATCACCTCACATCATGGCAGAAAGCTACGACATTTCCCCGCCGGAGCTCCTGAATCCCATTCCCCCGACCAGAACCGATATCCATGCCTTCCTCTCTCGTCACCTAGATCTGCTTGCCTCGGAACGGCAAGCAGAAATCGATCAGACAAGCTTGCTGGCTTCCAACTGCAGTCCTAGGCTGTTGGAGAAACGCGGCCTAGCTATTGGCAGTGAGTGCTCCAGTCTATCAATGTGTGTTATCGACTCATAATGGATGATAAATGCTGTAGGTTTGGGCGTTGCGAGTGTCTCCGTTGGCCTTGGA